AACAGGAGGCTTGGGTTGCCCCCAGCGATGGAGGAAGCCAAGTTTCCCACCTGCCCTGGCTGGCTGTGGACTCTGCTCAAGGCTACAAATTTCAATTATAGAAGATAAATAAATCCCAGATACCTGCTTCCAGCCGCTGTGGCCTCCGCTCAAGGAGGGTCTGGGAGACTGGGTTGCCCGGGGCCCTGGCCAGCCTGCAAACAGCCATCAGCCCCTCACCCAGGCTGCCCCACGCCCCAAATCCAGCAGTCCCGGATTGCGAGAGGGTTGTCCAACTGCCGGTTTAGACCTGATCCCTGTAAACTGGCAGTAGGACATCCTTTGAGGGGTCCCAGATTGGAGAGAGTGCAGCTGGGCTAAGGAACACCCCCTCCCCTGTGCACGAATTTCATGCACGGGGCCACCAGTCTATAATAAAGAATAATTTTCTATTGACTTGCACTAAACATGTAAAGCAAAGGAAAGTTATTTCTAGGAAAATTAATAGTAGGTTCCTTATCTTTATTTAAAAGTTATGCCTGTGATACTGAACCTTGGTGCTGTTGCATATTAACCATTAATATGACTTACATAACTTCCATTTTGACATTATTTGTCCCAAACTTGGTTTTAACTACTCATTCTTCAGGTTAGAGAAAACAAAACAAAAAACACAAAGATTGGTATGTGCAAAAATCTTAACGTGTGACTTATTTAATATTTATAAAGCATATTTTCAATTTTATTTAAATTCATTTAAATAAAAAATCAAATCCTGAGTAATGAATAGAAATTCATTTAAATTAAAAAAAAATTCTATCGCTTCTCGGCCTTTTGGCTAAGATCAAGTGTAAATTAAAAAAAATTCTAAATAATGAGTAGTATTTTTTCTTTTAAAAAACTAAAAATGCTTTGAATAAAAAGAAAAAATACCAAAATTAGTTTTCAGTAACAGGTTACCTATTTATGCTGTGTAGTTTCACATCAAAATTAAGGCACACATGTTTTTAATGCTTTGTAGTCTTGGACTTCTTGATATTTAATGTGATTAGAAACAGATACTGGGGTTTATAGCTTGGTGGGGTTTTTTTTGTTTGTTTTAATGTTTGGTGGAAGTTGGTTTATTGATATTTTTTTTTTAACAACAGTGGGAAAACTTTTAAAAATGAAATTAAATAAAGCCTGGAACAACTAAAGGAGTCTTATAGCCATGTTACCACTTTCTGTTAATATATTGGGTTTCTCTCAGGGAGCTCAAGATCCACTCAATATTTCTCATTAATGTGGGACAAGCAGAAAAAGAAGAAATATAATACCAACCTATAGAATGGAAACTTGAAAAAGAAGTACAGTGCTCTGTTAAGATGATTGTCTCTAGCTGAAACAAAACCAAAATCCACTTCTCCTTTAGCTACTTTGGCCAATAGTGGTTGACATTTATGCTTATACTAGAGGCCTGGTGCACAAAATTTGTGTACTGGGGGGGGGGGGGGCGGGGCTCAGTCTGGCCTATGCCCTCTCACAGTCTGGGAGCCCTCGGAGGATGTCCGACTGATGGCTTAGACACACTTCTCATGGGGAAAGGGCCTAAGTCAGCAGTTGGACATCCTTAGCACTGCTGCAGAAAAGGGAGAGGTTCCTGCCACTGCCGCTGTGCTTGCCATCCATGAGCCCGGCTTCTGGCTGAGCGGTGCTCTCCCTGTGGGAGCATACTAACCACCAGAAGGCAGCTCCTGTGTTGAGCGTCTGTCCCCTGGTGGTCAGTGTGCATCATAGCAACTGGTCATTCTGCCCTTCAGTTGCTTTAGCATTTTATTATTATATAGGATTTTAACTAGAGGCCTGGGGCATGGATTCGTGCACCAGTGGGGTCCCTTGGCCTGGCCTGTGGGGATCGGGCTGAAACCAGCTCTCTGACATCTGTCAAGGGGTCCCAGATTGTGAAGGGCACTGGCCAGGCCAAGGGACCTGACCGGTGCACGATTGGGCTGGGGAGGGATGGTGGGAGGGCTCCAGGGCGTGTCCAACCACCTCACCCAGTCCCAATAGGCCAGACCCCAGCAGCAAGCTAACCTACCAATCAGAGTGTCTGCCCCCTGGTGGTCAGTGCGCATCCTAGTGACTGGTCAAACGGCTGAACAGTTGGACACAGCATATTAGGCTTGTATTATATAAGATTGTGTTTGAATACTCCACAGTGTACAAATGAACTCAGCATAAATGATAAATATATCAGAATAAATATCTTGTGTAATATAAATTTATTTGGCCCCTTCCCCTGGGAAGTTAATTTGTACTACTTCTGATGAAAAGCTTCTCATCCTCCTTATTACAAGATAGTTATTTTATAGTACTTTAATATAAATGCTTGACCTTTGGAAATCTAGTTCTTTTGGAGAAAATCCCAGATGTTCATACAGTTAAAACCAATGTTGAATATTTTGTGTTGCCAGATTACTAATTAAATTCCTGCACATAACCTTTTTCTTCCTGAAATGCAACATTTACTAAATTATTTTATAATTATGCAAACATCGGTTTGCATAGTTTTTGCATTTTAATGGGTTTAGGTTAAACCAGACTTTAGAACAAAATGAGAATCTGAAAAAAATGTGTAGTTCTATAGCTAAAGAGCTGTTGTCCAATCACATTAACAACACTGCTGTCAGTGAGGCTGCAATTCCTTTGTCGTTTTAAAAGCTACATATTTTCTGTGTACTTTTTGGAGAAGTTTAAGTATAAACCCACAAAGGATAGACAGAAATCTTCCAGAGCAACAAGCACCTAACTGCCCTCTTGCCCATTGCTTTTTCTTTAATATTACCTCTCAAATATGGTTAGGATTAACAAAGAAACAAAATTAAAGAAAACGAAGAGCAAAACATTGCCTCAAATAAAATTATTACTCTGTGACAATTAAAATTTTAAATGCCAAAATGATATTAATAATTATATCAAATAATACAAGTTAGTAAATTGAGTAAATAAAACCCCGGAAGCTGTTAAGATTAGAGAACAACTAACCTTCCTAAAAGCAATAAATGATATGTTTATTTTTTAATTGCTAGCAAACTCTTAGAAATTTTTGCATCCTTTTAAAACATGTTATTTTAAATATTTCAGAGTATAACATAAGAAGGAGCATTTTTCATGTTTTTGTAAAAAGTAAACCCAAAACTGTAAGACTGAAAACAAAACTTCTAAAAACACACAGATCTGATCATAAATTCCTAACCGGGAAGATCATAGTGAGTAGTCATGCCATGGGCATACAATTTCTTTATAAAAGGCTCATCTGTCCATTGTTTCTGTGCATCTAGATTAAAACACTTTTGAAATTATTCTTTTCAGACCCTTTTCCTAAGACATAACCACTCTCAAGAGAGCAAATTCCCTGTTACTGTGCAACGAGTTTAGAAGTAGGGCTGATACACACAAAGTTCTTTCCAATCTGGGGAAAATAGACCTCATAGAAAATACCAGTCTTTTGGATCATATAGGCTGATAAATCTTAAATTGAGTTTAATTTGAAAAGTAAATTAAAAGTAATAATATTTTTATTCCCAGCTGGGAAGTGAGTTGTACCAAGTTTCCATTATAAACCAATGGTAAGTATTGCATAGGTGTGTCGTTTACGCATATGAAAAACATATATGTATAACACATATTTAATGTTCATATTATTATAACCAAAATACAGTCTTGATAGATAAAATAATAGATTTCTCACTGATTATAAGTATGTACATATGTTTAAGCATATGTATATAGTCTATGCAAACATCAAATATTTACTCTTAGTAATTATATTAAGAAAAGTAAAATTTAATTTATTCTATTTTATGTATAACTGATGCTTAAGGCTATATAATCACGAAATTTCAGAGGAGATACTATGTTATAAAAACAGATATATATATATATATATATATATATATATATCCCCCCCCAAGGCAGATAACTGTGTTTCAACAATTCTAGCACACTGTATGCTATTTTATTCTTACTAAGAATATGTTTGGAATGAGAAATATGATGTAATGGTACCAACTTTTTAGCAAGACTACCAGAATTTGTGCACTCAAATATTTTCATCTTTTAAAAGCTAATCTGGATGGCAATATATTTATTCCAATGATAGTGCCATTTCCATTTTTAGAACTTATATTTTTAAATTGCCTCCAAAACTTTCAGCATAGTACTTTAAATATCAAATAGGGAAACTGATTTTCATTTTAAGATGGAAATCCAAATAACTTTTAGAGTTGGGACTGTTCAATAAAATGAAATATCAAACTTAAAAAAATATTTTACTGAAAGTTAGTTGTGATTTAAAAGTGACAATATTATTTTCTTCGTGTATGGCTTCCTTACAGCTTTCTCTAAGGCAATTATAATAAAGAATTTTTAAAATGATAATGAACAATCACTTCAATATAAGGCCAAGCATAAACTTGCAAGTAACAAAGTTTGAATGCTTAATATCTTACATTTTTATGTCAAAAACTGCTTTACTGCTACATAGACACTGTGAATCTCATCTATGACTTTACAGAGGATATAGTATGTTAGTGATTTTATTTTTCAAATCTTATTAATGCTGGGTCATAAAACTGACCTAGAAAATACTGAAACCAACTTTTATTTTCAAACTAAAAAAAAAAAAAGGTTCTCAATATGCTTAGGCAGCCAAAGATGAGGTTGAAGGGCAGTACTAAAACTGTTTAGGCAAAATTATTGGGAGGTTATGGAGTCTGTTTTTCTATTCAGACCTTTGACATATACATCATATTGTAAATGGTAGAGCCTGGCTTTATTAGCCTCATTTGCATGAGCCAAGGCTGTGTAGTCAGCAATGTAATTGCATGAAGAAGCAATTCTATTATTCCAAAGTGAATATATTTTTACTTTGCTAAATAAGAAAGCAGGCTACACCACCAATCATTAGACACTTCTGAGTTATGTTAAATAAATGTATTAACATTTCCAATAGAGAATTTGATTTCTCAGGAAATACTTGCCTGTAAATCCAGAGACACACGTGCAGAAGAACTAGCCATTTAAAATGATACTGGTTGCTCCATCTTTGCAGGGCATAGATTTACAATCTTTACTTTCTATGTCACAGATGTTTCTTTCATATATTTGCAGACAGCTACAGTTACAGCTGTGCAAATGGGCCTGGCAGAGGCCATGCAGTGATGTACTCTGGTTTCCTAAGCAATTTCCAATACTGAGAATACATAATCTGTTGGTATAACCAAGAGAAAAGCTGCATCTGAAACATGCAAAAATGAAAAACTCAATTAGTCATATAAGTTAACATATTTTAAATGTTTATTGCATGTCTAGTCAAATGCACAGGATAAGAAATATAATAAAGATGGATAGTGTCCACACTTGTCAAAATTTAATTTTGCTTACTGTGCAGAATAATGAATGAAAAGAACTTTTGCTGCAAACAGACCTAGATTCATAGACAGTTTCTTCCCCTTGATTGCTGCTACTTAAATGTGACCTTGAATAGTATCATTAACCCCAATGAGGCTCAATGACAGGATGTATGTGTCTGTATGTGTATGTGGGTGTTTCCAGATTTTTGTAAAAAATATGCAGTAAAGTGCTATAGTGAGGGCCTAACAATTAGGTTTTGATTTATTTCCACTTTGGCGACAGTGCCTAATGTTAAGCTTTAGATCACCAAGGCATCTGCTTCAATGGCATTGTTTTTAACAAACACATTGCCAGCTACATAACTAGATAAAAAAACAGGCTGCCCAACACATGAAATTCCTCTTTATAGAAAGTCCTAGGTAATCCAGATAACCTTTTCTGTGACCCTGCTTTCCCCTGCAGGCATTTAAATTCCTGCTATTACCTTTTAAATTCACAGAAAGAGTGAACTTGTGAAACTTTATGCATCCCACCCCACCCTCGACCCCAAGCCAGGCTGAACCCCAGGTCTGCTCTCTATCTCTTTACCTAAGATGTGACCTTGCCATGTGGCCCGCATGTGCCTTGTATTCTTCAGGATTTGTGGTAATAAAACTCGTTTTTACAAGGTCCCTGATGGTCGTTACTGAGATTCGGCTTACAACCATATAAGAAGGGCCAGTCCAGCTGCCACATGGGCTTTGGTAGGGGAAATGTCTGTGGTTTTCCCAACTAGTAGTACCTGCCCAAGTGAGTGGCCCCGACATTCCTAGCAAAATAGCGAGTGCCTAGGCATTCCTAGTCAATAACATCATTATCGATAGGCTGAGACCTGCACAAAACAAGTTTGAAATATTTAGTCTCATACCTAAGAAAAATTGGTTTTTAATTAATAATAGGTTACTGATAGTATTTATTCATTCACACCTATATTCATCCCATGAATATGCATTTGCATTTTCTATGTGACTGGCATTGGCCTAGTCCTAAATGATTTGATATTGAGGTAAACAAACCTCTGATTTTCCCTCAAAAGATGTGCTCTCTTCTTACCCTATCATAATGCTAATAAGTTTTATTTCAAATGCTTGCATACCTCAGTTCCTTAGTAGCCTATAATGTAAGTGCTTTGAAGGCAGGGACAATTGTTGTCTTATTTACATTTAATGCATCTCGTCTAGCATATATGCAAGTATATGCTAGTGATTAGCATAGAGAGAGGACCCAAGAAAATGTGTTCAATGAATAATTATTGAATAAATAAATGAGGTGCTAGAAAGACACTTAGAATTTGCAGGGAGGAGGGGAGGAGGCATGTGATAAGTAGTAGAATGTAATAATCCCTGCAGTTGAATTAAATGCAAATATTCTGGGAATTCCTTTTTTTTTTCTTTTGTTAATCCTCACTGGGGAAATTTTTCCATTGACTCTTAGAAAGAGTGTTAGGGAAATAAGGGGGGAGGGTGAAGAAGGAGAGAAACATGGATAGGATATGAATCAATTGGTTGCCTCCCACACAGGCCTCCACTAGACTGGGGATGGAACCTGTGACCTTTCCATGCTCTAACCACTGTAAACAACACTGGCCATGGCTATTCTTAAAAGGAAATAAACCTTATCTGACATGATAGGATGATGAGGCAGGAGTAGTATTATAATATATTCTGTGTGAGCATACTATTATATATAACATTATTCAAACAAAAATTTTCACTCAATGCAATTATTCATCTAAGGTACAAATGAAAGGCACTAACCAAATATGTTTGTATAACATTGTAAAGAGCTAGATTACTTTGAATTTTGAAATATCTCTATCCTTGAGTACATGAATTCAATCCATAGATTCATTTTTTTAAAGTATCAGTTTCAATGAATTTGAAAATCCTGACAAGACTGCGTTTATAGCAAACACAAAATTAATTCCTATAGTAATTTTAGCTTAGCCAATATTTTCTAGTAGATTTTGATGTACTTTAAGATAATTTTGAAAGATAATCTATTTCATGTAAATCTATTTTAAATACTTGCAGGTTTAATGGAGATAGCAAAACTGGCTATCAACAAAGGAGGAATATTTTTCTGGACTTATCAACATTGGTTTTTAAACTGTGTTTTCTTCATTTTGTATACACGCACATTTTCAGTGCCTCAATTATTTATTAAATACATTGAACAAACATTCTTGGGTATTCTCTATATACTTTATACTCTAGGTAACACCTTAGATAATGTGGATTACAAGTCATTTTAACGTGATCGTATATTATATAATATAGCCACATTTATTTCTTTGCACATACACACTGATAAAGTCTAAGAAAAAGAAAGAAAACATAACGTGAGAAAAAAACGTAATTCATGGGTGATAATCTTTGTTCTAAAGTGAAGTGATTTTCAAGTATCCTTTGCCAACTATTCAAAGGGCACTTAAGATAATTATATAAACATGTCAATGAGTTGAGAAGAGCAATGTCAAATCACTTTGCTTGTTATTATTTATGAAAATTAACCTACTGAACCTCAGTCATTACACTCTTAAATTTATATGATGGTAGGTGTTTGGAGCTACCTAGAATGTTAAAGTTCAATTAGTTCAAACCTTTCTTCTTGTATTTGTGAAAAACTTAGCCATTTAATGCAATTTGCCAAGGGTCATTGAGATTGTTAATAGCAGGCAGTGTAATTGATGCTTTCATATATTCACAGCGCTGGCCTTGGAGAAGGAACCTTAGGTCTAATTCTTCTTTTCTAACTTAATTCATAAGTAAGTTTCTCTGTGCCCTAGTTTTATCATCTGTAAAATTATTAGTACTACATCTATTTCACAGAAGACAATTAAATTTATCCATTACTAAGCAGTAAGACTGTGACCAGCCATAGCAAATGTGCATATGTTTACCTGAAATAAAATGACAAAACGCAGTTACTTCCCTTCAATGACCTCTCCCTTGCCCTGCCCCCAAAACAACCAGATAAACAAATAAAATTAAAAAACCCTAAGTAAAAACAACTGTCACACTGCATATAAGTCTGCCCGTCATGCATTGTTTAACCATTTTTTTGGTAGATTAATTATTAGCAGTGTTCATTCATTTAAAAGTACTTGGGTTGGGATAGTAAATTACACAAGTGTCCTACATATATTAGTAAGATAATTATGTAGTTGTGTGCCTCAACCATCCCAATTTAATCATAATGCTATTTTTTCCATAAATATATATTTTTTAAAAAAGCTTTTCTAAATGGACAGAGACCCTGTGTGAGAATAGGAAGGACTATCATTTCATTCTTCCTACAATAATCCCTAATTTAATGAAAGCTAAATAAACCAGGAAATAATGCAGCAATAGAAATATATGATCATGGCAAGAGAGTAGGATTTTTGCAGATAGTACGCAGTGGCCATTTCAAGATACATTTTGAAAAATTACATTATTAACTAATAGATTAAAGGATGTAGAAGAAATTAATTTAGAATGTCTCCTTCTTTTCAGGTCTTAGCAGTTTAGGACTGTACTACCCTTTACTACAAGGAAGATTTAGCAGGAGAAAAAATGCAGTAGAACTAGGAATCTGCATTTGGCCATAACAAATTTGAGAAAATTAAACCCATAAGTCTACTAATCAATTGGAAATATCGGCAATATCAGTTATCAGTAACAGACCCAGAATGGAAAATCAATTTGCTTAGATCACCATGCCTGAGAAAATCAGATCTCTAATTTCTGACTTAAATATAGCCCTCATATTTTTTAGTATTCAATTAGTTAACATCTCTCAAAAATATATATTCTACAGCAAATTAGGTCAATATTTTCTGTTTATAATATATTTCTATTTTCTGTGGCACCCCCTTTACTTCATACATTTGAATTTATATATGTCCTGGCCCACGTTGGTCAGTTGTTGGATATTGTCCCATGCACCAAAAGGTTTCAGGTTCAATTCCTGGTCAGGGCACATGCTTCAGTTGCAGGCTCAATCCCCAGTAGGAGCATGCATGGGGCAGCCCATTGATATTTTGCTCTCACATTGATGTTTCTCCCTCTCCTCTCCTCTCCTCTCCTCTCCTCTCCTCTCCTCTCCTCTCCTCTCCTCTCCTCTCCTCTCCTCTCCTCTCCTCTCCTCTCCTCTCCTCTCCTCTCCTCTTCTCCCTTCCTCTCTCTCTAAAAATCAACAAAATATTTTTAAAAGAATTTATAAATATAACCTATCTCCACACCTAATATTTTAAAAATCAAGATAATAACCTAACTCTAATATGAGAACATATAAAAGGACACTAAATTGTTATTGAATGTAGTTATGTATAAAAATACATCCTTTGTAGAAATTACATAACTCAAAGATACATTGATGTGCTTACGTCTTTGCATCCATACACAGAATAATGGAGGCTGATGACAGTAGTTAGTTATTCCAAATTCAAGTAGGATGATATGATTTTCCAATATGGTTACCAAATTCTAATAAATTCCTGAATAAAACATAATATTTTCTTGATTAACATGAACATTTCCTTTCTGATTAATCCAATGATTATTACATTTTTGTAAAAGTATTTGTGTCAGTACATAAAATGAAGTTATTGGCTCAGATATTTATAAAAAGGCTTTATAATCATATTAACATATATTGGAACTTTTGGAATAATTTAAATCTTGTAACATTTTTTTTAATCATGGAAGTATCTTGGGCAATGAAGGATTTATAGCATTCATCCTCTATCTCCCGCCTGCTAAAGGCCAGCTGTTTCAGTCAGTTCCACTGATTGGAATGACCTTAATAATTTTCAAATTTTCCCCAAAATGCAAAGCCATCCCTATGAAAACCATTGAGTTAAAATAAATTTATCCAGTTTATTAAAGCACTCACCACGTTTTACCCATTATGTACTAATATGACAAGTATTTTTCATCATAATTATAATATTCATATAAATACTGATATGCCTGCATATGATGCCAAGTGATAAAATAAATTACTATTATTTTTCTTTTTTAATTGTCTAAAATTTTACATATATCTCCTTTTTCTCTGCTTGACCCCCCCCCCCAACCCCCACGATTCCCACCCTGGGCAAGCCCCCACTGCCCCAGTGTCTGTGTCTATTGGTTATGCTAATATGCATGCTTACAAGTCCTTTGGTTGCTCTCTAACCCCTTCCCTCCCCTGCCATTTGTCTCTGGATCTATTCTTGTTCATCAAATTATATTGATCATTATATCCCACATATGAGTGAGATCATGTGATATTTATCTTTCTCTGACTGGCTTAAGATACATTACTATTAAATTGAAAGCAATTCAGTGACAAGTACATCAAATTTGTTTAAAAAAAAATGTCAAGAAAATCATAGTGGTCCACATATATTATTAAAATGTTTCAAATATTCTTATAAATTCCAAGAACTTTAACTTTGAGAAAATAAATTGCACTAAAAGACTTAATAAATAAATCAACTAGAATTGTACTTAAATTTGAAATAAGTGAATGGTATAATTGAAAAGACATAACAGAAATATATTAGGTGAAAGTCTAAGTTTAAAATATTGTCTCATTTTAAATATTGAAAGTTAATTTTTTTATCATTTAATGGAAATATATTCTTGGGATAGAAGAAGTTAAATATATTACTCTATTTGTTAGCCTAAATATCAAGATTTTAATCTATATGCCTTATATACAGTAGATGCTCCATTAATATTGTTTGACTATATAATCACCAAGTTTATTTCATAATTGAGCTATGCTCCAGAGAAAGGTCATCTTAAAGGTTCTGAACAAACAGCTTCATGACATTTCATGTCTTAGAAGAAAATGTGAAAAGCAATAAAAAAGGTTAGACCTATAAAAACCTATTTAGCTATTATCAAGTAAAATAAAAATCTGGCCCAGGTACACAAAATCATATTAATCACATGCACACAATTTTTGTTTGACATATGAATCTAAAGCATAAAGTCATAGAGCCAGAAGCTATAATATAGTCAAATTTTCACTTTATGTGCATAACACATATATTGGTTTTCAGATGAAAGAAAAAAATGATAACATGATGTATAATTTTATATACATTAGCTAAATTTCAACTCATACTATTATTGACATCTAATTACACAAAACTACTTCTTTTAATGAGGTGTACTACAATTAATTTTCAGCATGTATATGCACATTACAATATTTACTTTAGAGTTGCTTAAATAAATAATCACCTCTATATCATTTTACTATAAAACTTAAGGAAGCAAGGTTATTTCATTTTTCCATGGCAAAATAAAGATGAAAAATAATATATCAACACATGTACATGCAACAGAAAAAAATTTCTAGCCACTAGAGAAAATGTGGCTTAATATATCAAGACTGTTCAAAACAAGCACACATACATCATATATATGCAGTCCAATTTACTCCTTTTTAAATATGTTTCAAAGTAAAATGTAACACAAAAACTTTTGCCTGGGAGGCAGGAAAATTTTCATGGTACATTCAAAATTCAATGTAATAAAAAAAAGTCACTGATATTATGGCAAAAATTATAATAGTCTTAGAAATTAATAATTATTAGAGTTACTGGTTCAGAAGTAATTTAAGAAAACTCTGAGCAAAATAGATTTCTGTGGCAAATTCACATAAAGTTGTATTTATTCAAGCCTCCAGACTCTATAGAAATAGGTTTGAAACTATACTTGATTTTATCGTGGACTTCAGATTTTACACTTCGATACAGAACTATTGCTTATAAATGAAAAATAGTGTTTTGGTCATATTTAGCATTACATGGAAAATGTAAGCTCCTAAAATAGCCCTTAAAAGAAACAAGTTTATTTGAAAGTTTCCAGAAAGTCAGCCATAAAATTAATTGCTATAACACAAACTACTTGTATGTTTACAAAGTAAAAATAATAGTTACTTTAGAAGTTAATAATATATTTGCTTTCTACATAAACAGCCATGAGATGTGTTCTGATTTACCTATGGATGATACATTACAAGGGGATAAGAATCAGATCTTATTTCCAAACATTTTCCAATTAGAAAGTATTGAATAAAGGTTTAAGAAATGTGTGATTGAGTGGGTTTCGTTTTGTTATGCTATTTCTGGTAGTAAGTAGGGACTGGTGACTTGAGCATAGATTGAAAGCTTCATATATGGGTTGGATACACAAAAACTTCAGTCTAGTGTTGAGAAATTTAAATCCAATACTTATCACAAAACTACCCTTTCCTGAGTGAAAACATAGCTAGGGGACCCACCGCCCCACTTTCATTAAGTTTATGCAAAATTTTCGGAAATGTTTTTGCCCCTTTTAGGGCAAAACTGTGGTAAATACTCAATCCGTTGTAAAATACTTCCTTTACATTATGTACTTTAAGCTGACTCATAGAAAGTATATTTCAATAGTAAAAGGTCTATACATTAATTATCAACTCATTGTTAACGTTGTTATTATGTTGTTATTGTTAGTTTTATTCATTCAAAAAAGTTGTTAAATTTAACATTATAGTATTATCATTGTTTTATTTAATAAGTTTTTGTTTTATCTATTTTGGGTGTCAGTTGTTTGGCACATATGCTTATAATTGACACATCTTCTGATGGATTATATCGTTTCTTATTATATACTGTGGTTGGTTTTCTCTAGTAACCATTTTTATTCTTTTAAAGTCTATTTCATTTGATATTAGTATAGATACTCCTGCTTTGAATGGTTGCTATTTGAATGATATATATTTTCCCAATCTGTTACTTTTAACCTAAATGTACATTTAAATGTAGAGAATGTGTCTCCTATAGATGGCATATACTTGGGTATGTCCAGAAATTATCTAGGCTGAAAATCTCTGCCTTTTGATTGAATTTTGAATCCATTTGATTTTAATATTTTAATGTTATTAGTTATATAGTTGGGTTTACGTCTGCCATTTCCCTTTTTGTTTTTCTTATGTCTCATGTCTTTTTTAACACATTGTTTGCGGGTAGTTTTTATCACGCGCTAACAGGTGGCGCGGGCCATTTTTGCAGTTGAATAGATTGATTACCGTTATACCTGGAAGTACATACATAATTCACCATTGTATGTGTTAGAGACCCAAATTTTGTCCTTTGGAATTTGTATATCTGCATGTTAGCATCCCTTTAGAGCAATAAAAAAGTATAAAAATAAACGTATTTATACGTTACCCGCATTCTACCGCTAGTCTATAAAAAATGTATTGATACGTGTCCCGCGCTCTACTACCAGTCAACGTAAAACGTATAAATACGTTTCCCACATACAATGTGTTAATACCTTTATGCTTCTGATAATACCTCCTTTTATATTAAGTATATAGTTCCAGGTCAAAATTTTAATGCTTTTTTTTGCAGTTTTATTTGTTACTAGTGGCCCGGTGCATGAAATTCATGCACAGTAAAAGGGAATTAGAGGAAATATTTTAATATTGCTATTTGACCTTTCTCTATAATAGAAGTGTCAGAGATGAAAGAAAATTAGTAAAATGTAGTCCCTGCCACCCACGTGCACCTCAAAATCACGCGAGACCCAGACCTGGCCAGCCCCACCACCGTCAAGCCCCGCCAGGTGGGGGGTGCAGCCTCAGGTCCCCCACCTCAGCCCAGTGCCACGCAGCCTCAGGTCCCTGCTGATCACTCCTTATGGCTCATCACGGGAACCCCACCTCTGCTGTGGGCACAGCCATCTTGTGTTACAGGAACCCTGCCTCCACTGTGGGTGCAGCCATCTTGTGATGGTGTGATGGAGTGAGGGTCAATTTGCATACTACTTCTTTATTATATAGGCTTTTCTTGGTGGTTGCTCTGGTATTAACCATATACATCTTTTTTTAAAAAAATATATATTTTATTGATTTTTCACAGAGAGAAAGGGAGAGATATAGAGAGTTAGAAACATCAATGAGAGAGAAACATTGATCAGCTTCCTCCTGCACACTCCCTACTGGGGATGTGCCCGCAACCAAGGTACATGCCCCTGACCGGAATCAAACCTGGGACCCTTGAGTCCACAGGCTGACGCTCTATCCACTGAGCCAAACTGGTCAGGGCCATATACATCTTAATATATGAGAATCTATCCCAGATTTTATTTACCACAGATACTAACTTTAATTCTAGTGTAATATAGAAAATGTATTTCTATATGTCTATATTCTTTTTCCTATATATGTGCTCATTATACATAATATAATGAATAAATACTTAGATATATTAAATTCATCTTCATAAATTGCTTCAAGTTGACACTGACTTTCTTGATAGTCAGTTGTATTTTCCAGATACATTTTCCCAGGCATTCTGGGAATAAATAGATAAAAATATCCCTTATTTCATTCTTCAGTCAAACAAATGCATCCATTTGCACACATCTATAAAAAATAAGAAATAGAATATTTTAAATGTCTTGGTGTCTCTGTCTCCTTGTCACTCTCTCTCTTTTGCACTTATGCTTGCTGTCACTCTCACTCCCTCCCTCTCCCTTCCACTTTCTCTAAATGTCAGTGGGAAAAAATATCCTCAGGTGAGGATTAACAAAAAAAAACACAAAGAAATAGCCAACCAGTAGACACCAATTCATCCTGCTTATGCATGAACGTTTCTAACTGTTCCCCACAACAAATCAGTAGTAGGAAATACTTTTAGAAAACCTTTCTACAGTATCAAGGGGGTTTTATTGTTGTTGTTTGTTTGCTTTTTAACAAAATAAATGAAATAATACTTTTGGGACTTCAGTCTTTGATGATGAAAACTGAAATAAACCTAAAATAATGAAAACAGCAAAAATGACTTACTCTTTGCTCCATGAAATACTTGCTCCTAAAAGGTAAAATTGTGAATTAACTAAAATAAGTTACTTACCAAGACTAACAATTTACTCATCAAGCTCACTTTTTTTTTTTTTAATATATTTTATTGATTTTTCACAGAGAGGAAGAGAGAGAGATAGAGAGTTAGAAACATCGATGAGAGAGAAACATCGACCAGCTGCCTCCTGCACATCTCCCACTGGGGATGTGCCCGCAACCAAGGTACATGCCCTTGACCGGAATCGAACCCGGGACCCTTCAGTCCGCAGGCCGACGCTCTATCCACTGAGCCAAACCGGTTTCGGCTCATCAAGCTCACTTTAAGATTATCATCACATTGTGCCCACCATACAAAGCTATATATATAAATTCTTACTGATCAAGTAAAGCCCCATCAACTGACAACCAAGGCTCTGAAACATATAAATATCTTCTGATATCTTCTTCCTTCTAAAATACTTGTAAGATTCTGTTAAAGGTGTTTTTTTTTTTTGTTACTGCATAAATCTGAGAGAATTTCTTGGTCAATGGAATTGTCCGGTAGTCTTCTGGAGGGGCAACCATGAACAAACACACAGTTCTGTAAAGATCCAATTAAGATGCCCTCACTACCAAATTTGAGGACCTTAGATTGCAAACAGCACCCTGCTGTGAGACCAATGAAGATTCCTCTCTCCAACTATGACAGTGACATAGGGACAGTTTCAGATCTGAACTCCAATTCCTTTTCATCAAATTCCCAAATGTTAAGTTTAGTTTGTCTCCTAAGAATAAGAAAACATTTTAGAAAATGTTTGATTATAGGATCCAGTTTAATCTAGAGAGATAAACATAGATTTTACAACTTCATCATCTAGCTAATTTAATGAACAGTGAATTTATATGGTCACATGAGTCTGCATTTCCAGGACAAAATTTTCCTTAAGCCACCTTTTCAAAATCTTTTTACACAATTTTGTCAGGTCCTCAGTTGAGATTGACTACTCTTTGGCATTTCATAAGACATGACATTACACAAGCACCTCAATATATTTTCATGGGGTCCTTTCAGTCTTGGACATCATGCATTCCTTCCTTCATGTTGTAACTCATGTACATACCTTTCTAATTGCTATAATCCCCCCAAGGACAATCTATAATTGCAGTGGCCACTCTGTAGAAGTTTCGACAAGAACAAAATCGCTCATTTGACAGATGCATTAAAATAAAAATGAAATCTCTACACTTGTAAGGAGATTTGATGTATAATAGCATTTGATGTATAAGAGTCCCCCGTTCATTTTTACAATTTGGGGATTAATAAGCAGTAGGTTTTTAATTACATGGCTTTATGGAATTGTCAAGGGTGTAAATTATTGTTTAAACTGTCCATATTAACAACTTGTTTTTGTGGGTGTGTATCTTTGTAAAAATAAGTTTTTCTGTACTTAAGCCTCTACTACTCTTTGCAGCTAGGAGATAATTAACTTTTAACAATCATGATTTCATATCAGCCTGAATTTAGCTCCCATTCACTTGTTTATTTTTGCTTTTTTTGAAAAATTATAATATTTATTGATCATAAATATTTTTCTGTCATTATATGTATATTGTGGGACCATTGATCAGATAGTCAAAAATATAAGGAAAAGGAAAATGATAAACTGTGCTTAAATTATGTGTTTTGTCTTTGCCAAAATTTTAGCAAAGCAGTAAATGTGAATGGGTAATGTATTTAGTCTTTTTTATGAATAGAAAATTAGGTTCTTAGAGTTTTGGCATAAACTTGAAAGTCTTGATTAAAAAAAAAAAATGAACATAGACATTTACTTATATTTAAGAGAGTTTATGGACTTTCCCAATAAATAAATGACTTTTTAGGCAAATGGGAATGATTATAAACCTTGGAAGGACTATTCTATCATAGTTTAATCAGATTGTTAATAATTTTAAAAATATAAAATTGGAATAATTGACATTTTAATAATTTATATAATTTAAAAGGTTTTAATCTTGTAATTTTTTATTGATTCACCTACACTGATGTACTAGAAAGTTTTGCTGATAATACTACAAATCATAAGGACTTAACATGATGGTGTAAATTGCAACTTCCAAATCCTTGGACAATATCAATATTTTACACTGCTATTAAAATGAATTAATAAATTAACATTTAATACCTGAGAAATTATTTTAAAAATATACAAATATTAATCTCTAAATATAATTTAAAATTAACCCTATTTCCTATTGAATGCAAATCAGGAAATAAAAATATATAGTAGATACACAAATGATAGCTCAATTTTAAAAATGAAATGTATTTTATTAATCATTATAATTATTCAAAGTCTGTGTATACATTTTTTGGGCCATCCTATATAATTAATTGATGTACAGTATGGGCACAAGTAGATTTATAGTTCTGAGTATGAGGAACAAAGTTTATTTTTTTCTTTTAGTTTTTATTTTAATTGAAAAAAATCAAGTTTTAATATTTTGAAATTACAGCTGTCATTCAATATTATATCAGTTGCAGGCGTACAGAACAGTGGTTAGACCTTTAGATAAATACCACATGATCTCACTCATTTGTGGAATATATAGAACAACATGAAGTGACAAACAAAAATAGATCCAGAGACAGAGAAGCATTGAACTGACAGTCAAACCTCAGAGGGAAGGGGGCGGGGGTAAGAGATCAACCAAAGGACTTGTATGTATGCAGACAAGCATTACCAATGGTCACTACCATTGTAATTCAAAAACAATAAAAAAGAAGTGATCTCTTTGATTATTCTAGTACCCCTTGACACTGTACATAGTTACTACAATATTATTGACTATGTCCCCTATGTTGTAATTTACATACCAGTGACTATTTTATAACTGCCAAATTATAATTCTTTTTAAAAAATTTTTAAATCATGTTTTATTTGTCAATTACAGTTGACATACAATATCATATTAGTTTCAGGTGTAAAACCCAGTGATTAGATAGGTACAGGGTATGTAGAGGCCAGATGCTGATCATTTGAGATATTTTAGGAAAGCCCAAAGCATGAGGCAAGAGAGACACTTATATAGAAAATCCACTGGAAATGGCTTGAATTAGCTTTCAAGTTTCAGAGAATTACCAGGATGGGGTGAACAGTATGAACTGCTTGATGGAGACTTAAATATGGCACCCCTCTGTTAGTTCTGTGGAAAGGGAGAGCTCAACAAAGGAATAATGGCTTCTGCCAACACTTTTATCTGGCAGAGAGCTGCTCCCCCTTTCAGCTTTGCCCTGATGCCAGGCAATTTTTTTGCTGTCTGTATGTCTCTGGCTCCTTTCAAGTTGCTGCCAAATCACTGAAGCTCAGAAGAGGCGAGTCCCAGTAAGTCCATGTGTGGGCCCTTTAAGAGGAACTGCCTGGGACTCCAGCATCCATCCTTCTGTCTCCCTCAGCTACAATACCCTCTGATTTTACAGCCCAAAGTTATGGGGACTTTTCTTCCTGGCACTGGAACCCTGGGCTGGGTGGCCTTGGTCTAGGCCTAGGAACATTTGCTTCTCAGTGGGGAATACTGCAGCCAGGACATTCCTTGCAATTATAAACTGCCACAAGTGGGTGTCAGATCAGCTGTTTATCATATCCGCCCATCCTACCAGTCTCCATGTGGCTTCTTTAACTCCCTAGGCAGTTTTTCAATGATGGTGTTCTAAAGTTTAGTTGTATTTCTCATTTGGTTGTTGGAGGATTTGAGTACCATGTTTACCTACACTGCCATCTTGACCAGAAGCCCACAGTTAATTTTGTATTATTTATTAATTATTGTATTATTTTCCATATGAACTACTGTATACCTACTTTTTCCCACCCTGTATATTTATGTTGGCATATTTATGTTTATTTTAATTAACATCAAAGTTGTAAAAGTTAGATAAAATGTGTGATCATGAAAAAATAAAATAGCTAAAACATTATTTGATTGCTGTCTTCAGGTTTTCTCTTCAGTCTTAAAAAAAATAATGTTAGTTACCGTAGTTAAAGTTGGTAGTTACTTTAAAAGAAAACAAAGAAATAGAACTATGTATACAAGATAATAAATATGATTTGCTTTTTTTATCCTAAGAGAAAGTATACAGTTATTTAATTAGTAATTTTAATAGATAATGTTCCTTAATATGCTAATAAAGTACAGTAAATCCTAAAGATAAAAACTTTAGTCATCTATTTCATAGTCATATACCTGTAATTGCCTAAATGCATACATGTAAAACTATAGTAAGCCTAATACATCTGAGTGTAACTTAATAAAAAAAAAATGAGGGTATACATGAAATTAAAACATCTGAGGAATTTGAAGTCTGTTTTCTATATTGGTAATGCCCCTTTAGTTGGTTGCTTTTGAAGTAAACTGGGTTTTTTTATAAAATTGGCTTAATGTTAATAGATTTAATAATAAAAAGCTTATAACGTTTTATTAATTTTGAATATGAATATATGCCAAATATAAAAATAAAATTAAATGTTTTTTTCTATATAAAATAGCCAAATTAGGTTGTGTCTAGAGAAGAGTGGTTATAAATATTCTATTAACTAAACTTTTTTAAAAACCTCTGAATCATTTTGACAAATGTTCCTTAAAATAAATATCCTAAAATCATTGCTTCTTGTTGTTATTTGTTTGAAAATATTGCCCTAATTTGTACAAGATGAAGGCAAGATGGCGGAAAACAGGGCCACTTTTGGCATTCTTGTACTAGGCCCCATAATTGTTAATGGTAAAATTGCACAGAGATTAGAAATTTTCCAGAGACTTAAGTATATTCCAAAAGACAATCATAGTTCTTTATGATCTCTAAACAAAAAGATGGCATAATCATAATTGTGTTTAAGAGGCTTTAATCAGTTAGCAAATTATAACAAAACTAAACCACAAAAAGACTAGAAATAAAATGATTGTTAAAACTCTTCATTACCCTTCTATATTATAAACATAATAAAAAATTTGAAAAAAAAGATTTCCAAGTAGGTTGTTAAAAATTTGTTTATGAAGTTCTATTTAAGCTGCGCAAATCTTGGACTTTAAGTTTATAAACTTAACATTTCTAACTTTTTTCAAATCAGACCAATAGGAATTAAAGAGAAATATGAGAAATGCTACCTTACCTCCATTTTTTTCACATTGAAACAAACATGGATAATCAATGTCTTCAGATTTGTTCACATAGTCTGCATTGTCAGTGCAATTTTCAGTGAGAAAGAAGTAAGCATCAATAGTCACTTCACACTTTTCACCTTCAGATACTTTCAAACAACAACAACAAAAAAAACATAAGAAAATAACTTCTCACAAACTTGAAGTCACATTTAAGTACTAAAGAGAATTGTCAAATTACTTGATCAGATCAATATGACATATATCACAAAATAAGGTTCTATATCTATAGAGCACTAAATATGAAAGAGACCTAAAATATAAGGCCCAACTATCGCATTTTATTTATTTTTTTTAAATATATTTTATTGATTCTTTACAGAGAGTAAGGGAAAGGGACAGAGAGCTAGAAACATCGATGAGAGAGAAACATCGACCAGCTGCCCCCTGCACACACCCCACTGGGGATGTGCCCCCAACCAAGGTACATGCCCCCAACCGGAATCGAACCCGGGACCCTTCAGTTCGCAGGCCGACGCTCCATCCACTGAGCCAAACTAGTCAGGGTGCCAACCATCTCATTTTAAAATGAGCCTACGACAAAATAAACTGATGAACAAAATAGATAGAGACATAGAAGCAGGGAACAGACTGATGAATCTCAGAGGGAAGGCCGCGGGTAAGGGGGTGGGGTTGAGGGATGGGAAGAGATTAACCAAAGGGGGAAAAAAAAATATATATATATATATATATTCATCCATCCCATGGAAACAGACAACAATGCTATGAGGACCTGCAAGCGGGGAGAAGAGCAGGTGTGGGTTAGAGGGGTTCAACATGCAAAAAGGGGGTAATACTTTCAATAATAAAGATAACTTTTTAAAAAATGTAGCCTGAAATACAGAGCATCAGTATAAGACACAGTATCTGGGCTAATCCATTAAAAAATAATCAAATGTCAAATGAGTTTTCAATTAATAACGGAAAACTGATGTAGTTACTATAAACAATATTTATAAAAATAATTTTACATACTACAGCTGTATAGGGAACCACTTCAAAAGAAATTTTAAAAAATAAAGCATTTGTGATAGAAAAATAATCAGGACCTCATCCTTATTTTCTCACAGGAAGGAATGAAGGAAGGAAATATGTGTGCTTGTGTGTATGTGTAGGTATAGATGCAGATATACATAAATAATTTAACTACTTCACACTCTATTGTTAGATATAATTTCTATGATGCAATAAAAATGAGATTGCACAAAAGTAAAAGATATGACATATACTCAAGAGGAAATTTAGTAAAAACATATGTAAATATGGCCCAGATTTAGAATTATTGCATAAAGACTGTAAAATATCTATGATAAATGTGTTGAAGTATCTACAGAGGAGGTGAATATGATTGCTAAACAGATAGGAAACTAGGGAATGAGAAATCTGGAAACAAACAAAACACACACACACACACACACACACACACACACAAATGAGGTCTCAAAATTGTGGGCAGAAAGGAACTAATTAGGCTGAACTGAGAACCTATTATCTTTTAATAATGGATGCAACATTACAGGAAATGAAAGAACACAGGAGACCTGATAAATCTCCATGTAAACATAGATACACCTCCTAGTAAATAGACCAATAATATTTGGTAGAGAGATAGTATTTATCCACAGAATCCTATAGCTAACACTATGATTTTGGATTGCTTATGGTCAGCAAACCTAAAGTCTATGGTTCATGAAGCATGACTTTCTGAAAAATATCTTGTAAGCTTTGCAAATGACACTTGAATTCTAAGGTGGAGATGGTTTCCAAGCTGAAATGCCCCTGCTGTGTGCAGATCTAATTTAGAAATCTCACATATCACTCTGGAAAAAAAGGAGAAAGCTAGGAAGCCAGCATAATGTTCCAATTCTTTTTGACATTACAGGTATAATTTGACTGCTTACAATCTTATAATTATAGAAAATGATTAGTTTATTAATAATAAAATAGTCAATGCCGAGCGGGTCTCTTAGAGATGAGACACAAGAAATGAAAATATTCAGTAAATTTAATGTCAATAAAAATCATACCTTTAATGTGATGAAAATAATTCAAATATGGTATGCTGGCCTCATATAATAAATTGATGAATGTTCCTTAATATTTTTGTGAGGAGTTCAACTAGTGATTCTTCGTTGAATATTAGAAATAACTTGTATAGAAAACCATATATTTCCATGATTTTATTGTTGTTGAAATATTTTTTAAAAACTATATTATTTAATTATTTGAGCTTTTGTAGGATTATTCACATTTTATATTTATTATTGAATCATTTTGCCAACTAGCATTTTTCTATGAATTTATACATTTTATCTAATTTGTCCCAATTTATAAGTCAATATTTTGCCATAATGATGTACTTGTTAAATATTTGAATTTAACTGAGATATTATTGTCCTTTCCCCCCAAAGCATTAAAAGAGGTATTACAATAATAAAACAAATGCTTTAACCCACAGAGGTAATAGAAGGGGAAATAACAGTGAGCACATATCCTATATAATAAAACCCTAAAATGCAAATCGACCAAACAGCAGAATGACTGGTCGCTATGACAGGCACTGACCACCAGGGGGCAGATGCTCAATGGAGGAGCTGCACCTTGGTGGTCAGTGCGCTCCCACAGGGGGAGCACAGCTTAGCCAGAGGCTGGGCTCATGGCTTAAGAGCACAGCAGCGGTGGCAAGAGCCTCTCCTGCCTCTGCAGGGGCTCTAAGGACCCCTTCGGGGATATCTGCCTGCTGGGTTAGGCCTGCTCCCTAAGCCAGCAGACTGACATCCTCCAAGGGGTCCTGGACTGGTGGTACAGGCACATGCCAGGCTGAGGGACCCCCCCGACACACCCCTCAGTGCATTAATGTTGTGCACGGGCCCTCTAGTATTTAACATGTTAAACGCCCAGCCTGTTTTGTCTTACAGAGGGAAAGTATAGTGTCAGTCACTGGTGACTGACTGGGTGCTTAACGTGTTAATAATCTTTGAGAAGCTTAAAAGATATGGTGAATAATGGTAACTACAATTACTGTGGTGATCACTTTTATTATGTACAAATATAGAATCACTAGAGGCCCATTGCAGGAAGATTCCTGCAAGAATAGGGCTTCATTGGGCCTATTCCTGCAAGAATAGGGCTTCCTAAGGCCAGAGCAAAGCAGAGAAGGGAGAGAAGACCGCCGAGGCGGGCTTCGCTCCCTTCTCCACTGCCTCGCACCCTCCTGTCTCCGCCGCCTCAGCTCCCTCCTGTGTCTGCTGCCTCGGCTCCTTCCCATGTCCACCGCCTCATTCCCTCCTGCTTCTGCCATTTTGGCTCCCTCTCATCTCCGCTGTCTCGCTCCCTCCTGTCTGCATTGCCTCGCTCCCTCCCGTCTCTGCTGCCTCGCCTCCGCTCCTGTCTCGGCTGCCTCTGATCCGTTCCCTTCTCCGCCACTTCACTCCCTTCTGCATCACTTGGCTTCCTTCTACGCTGTCTTCACTCTTCGCTCCGCACTTGCATATGCAAATAAACTGCCATCTTTGTTGGGTTAATTTGCATATCATTCTGATTGGCTGGTGAGCATAGCAGAGGCACGGTCAATTTACAAGTTTGTCTATTATTAGGTAAGATAATGTTGTGTACCTGAAACTCACATAGTATTTCAGTCAATTATATCTCAATTAAATAGTATGGATATAATTCACCAAATTCCCCAAATAGTAAAATGTCAACACTGGGGCAAAGAAGATAGAAAAAGCCTTCCAGAGAGATAATCAGAAGTTGAATATAAAGAATTAAAAGGTAGCCTATTACACATGATTCTATATTATTGCATTACTTCCTTTCTTTTCCTTTTATCATGTATCTCATTGATTGTCGAATCAGTACTGGGAGTATTCCACAATCATTTATACATCTGTGCTTATTCTTTTGCTTAAATAACCAATGATGCCAAGTATAATCTTTCATATATATTACTCAACATATGCATGGTAAATATATGTGATGAAAAAGCTAGGTCAAATCATATATACATTTCTAATATTTCCCTGCCAAGATATTAGAGTCATTTTACATTTTGCCAGCAATGGATAAGATCACCAAGTTGTCAAACTCTCAATTTTTGTTTCCAGACTACTAAAAGAAAAATTATATATTTATGGTGCTTTTAAATTTTTCTTTGCTCTCATTATGAGTAAAGATGAGTATTTTCACATATCTTTAGAAATACTTTATATTCATTCAGAATTTTCCTTTTGGCATTTGACTACACTTATGACAAATTTCACAAGGAGACATTTTTCCTTTTCATGTAGTCACATGATCAATCTTTTCTTTCAGATGTCTAAATTTTGATTAAAGATCCAAAGGCCTTCTCCATTTAAAGTTATAAAGTAATTGTGTAACATTTCTCTGTGTGTTTTTTTTAAAATATATTTTATTGATTTTTTACAGAGAGGAAGGGAGAGGGATAGACAGTTAGAAACATCAATGAGAGAGAAACATCGATCAGCTGCCTCCTGCACACTCCCCACTGGGGGTGTGCCTGCAACCAAGGTACATGCCCTTGACCGGAATCGAACCTGGGACTCCTGAGTCCGCAGGCCGACTGTCTATCCACTGAGCCAAACCGGTCAGGGCTCTCTGTGTTTTTTTTTTTTTAATTTTTACATTTAACACTTTCATTTAATATGGAATGTTGCAAAATACCAATCTGACTTTTCTTTCCAGGTGACTACCCAGTTGTTTGACATCAATTATTGATTAGTCCCTATTTACTCTAATGATTCAAATGGCAATTTTGTCATATGCAAAATTTCTGCATGACTAAGATTTTGAACTTTGTATTTTTTATTATCAATGAAACAGTACCATGTCTTTTATTATTTAAACTAGGGGCTCAGTGCACAAAATTGTGCACCTTGAAAGGAACTATGGGCTGTGAGGCTGCAGTGGGCACAGGGGTCGGTCTTGGCCCATCCTACATGCCCCCACCTGACCTATCCCACTGTGGCCCTGGCCCCGTCTGCCCACAGCCCCACTCTTGCTGCCGCAGCTCCCATGCACTGATGGTGCTGGCCCTGCTCGCACCTGCTGATGGCACGGAGCTATTGGG